AATGAACTATCTATTTTGGCAATCAATACTGGAGTAATACACCATTGATAGAATATCTTCTTCCAATTTTCTCTAAAATATTTTCTGTAAATTTTATATTTTCTTCCTTTGATATGATCTTTGTTGCATGCCAATTTTTTATTCAAATATCACATCAATTTAATCTATAATCTTCACTTGTTCAATACTGAATCACACTTCACCAGCAACTTATAATTAAGCCCAATAGATGATTTGAATGTTGTGTGGTAAGTTTCTCAAATTTAGTCAGATCTCTAACTGTTCCACCTTGTTTTTGTACTCCTTTTGGGCTATAGAGATTATTTGTAGATATAAAAACCAATGAGGTGACTTTGGCCATTCTGAAGAGGAGATCTCAAAGGATTTGATCTTTACTGATAGTTAAGTCCTACAATCTCTATGAATTATTGTCTCTCCACTGATCAAATTTGTGCTTTCTCCTTAATGAAAATAAATAACTAATACTGAAGGAAGAGGCAATCAGCCTGGGCTAATTTTTTTTCTGAATTTATCCCATACTTTTTGAACACTACTAATTGAATGATCCCTTATGGATTGTATTTTTCTCATTGTATCCATCCTGCTGCTTTTATAGAAGCCATCCAAACTTAAGGTATTATAGTACAGTCTGTTATCCAAAATAAGCAACTAGCTTGGTAGTACAATTTAAAATGTGGTGTTGCCAGTCCACCTCATTCTTTTGAGTCTTGTAGGATCTTAAGCATTACCTTATGTTGTTTTTAGACCATATAAAGTTAGTTGTTTGCCTCTGCCAATCATTTAATATCTTCAGTTCTTATTGAGTTCATTTGGAACAAAAAACGGTGCCTTTCAAAATGTTCATTTTGACTGCAGCTGTTCTTCCTAACCAAGGCAGTGTCAACTTTCTCCCTTTTGAAATGTCTGCCTTTATAACTTTTCCAAGTCTGTGAGTTATTGTTCTAAATTCTCCAATACATGTCTTTTTAGGAGTTATGTTAAAGCCTGTTGTTTGCTGCAAAGACTATTTTTTTTCCCTGGATAAGTTCCGTATCATCATCGGAATCTTGGTCTTACTAATCAGCTATCTTGATAATGAGCTATACAGCTGCCTGCATTCCATTATTGATTCTAAAGAGTCCTTTGGGTGGTAACCGTAAATACAGCATCATCTCCATAAAGATTTAAATTAAGTTCTTGATTTGATAATTTGATTCCTGAGATTCTATTTTCTTGTTGAATCTTCTTTGTCAGTGGTTCTAATGCTAATAGAAATAATGAGAGAGAGAGGTTTGGTTTATAAGGAGCTCTTTATTTTGTGTTTGTGTTGACCCTTGAATTTAATATCTTTCTGTAATAATAAACCATTAACTCTTTACCTTTTTGGTTTGAAGTTTCCTCTGTATAATCTGACAATTATTGGATTATGATGTGCATCGGTCAGAGGTGCATAGGTCAGAGGTGTTAATAATGAGTTGTAAATCCAGCACACATTTATTGAAATGGCTCTGTTGCACCCAATTACACGAGGCAGACACTGACAAGCTCTGGAAACCTTGGGATTTATATTCATCCAAAATGATTTGATTGAAATTCTTCGATGGCATTCCAGAACCAACCTGGTGAGAACTGGTTCTGGAATGCCATCTATGAATTCTCAGTTGTTGGGGAGGCTGGCAAACTGCTGGAGAAAAGGAATAGAAAATAGGTAAAACTTTGGCTTAGTAACAGTTCTGGGTAGCCTCACACCATGCTGGGTGTTGTTATAAATATTGGCACAGCAACGGTCTGCAGTTGGTGTTCAAGGACACTTGGCCATGAGCATGCCTCGCTAATGGCAGACTGCCTGGTCCTTCTCAGTGTGTACAGATCTGCCTTTGAAAATTCTTAGAACGATGAGCTGGTGAGTTTGGGGTTTCAACTTGTGCAAGAAAAGAACAGTGGTCAGATAATTCTGTCCAAGAGGGGAGAGTCCTCACAAATGACTTCTTGGATGTTATGGATGCAAGGATTCGTGTCTTATTTTTTATCATTAGGAGTGTGTAAATACTATAGAAACCCTAGGTACATAACTTATCCTGAAAATTTAGCCAAGTTGGGTGTAAAGTAATAAAAATGCATTGGACAATGCAGGCACATGAACATGCACACACACACAACCACGCAAAGTTAGGAATAACAGATGGAGTGAAGTGATCAACAGCCTTCGTGACCTGAGGAGTTTGGTTTTCCTCCAAGTGATAATGAAACGGAACAGATTTAGATGACTGTAGCTACATTTGTATGATTTGTGAAGAATACAGGATACTGAATTTTGGATGTTCAGATGGCAGTAGAATTATTACCTTCTCACTGCCTTGTTTTATCTATCAAGAATGGCTTTCTTTGAAGGACAATCTAATGATAAATGGACTTTAGGTTACTGTGAGAAAATTCTTTGAACAGTGTGTTCTGCAGGCAGCAGAGATCAACGTATTCCTTATGTAACTTTACCCTCCTTCTAGTATAGCCTCAGATCCTTACTCTAGCCCCATATGGGGGTTATATAACCTGAACTGAAAGTATTGAAATAAATTGGGAGTTGGCTTCCCAATTTATTTCAATACGAGCCAAGAAAGTTTTAGCAGATAAACTCACATAAGAACCCATTAGTGAACCTACAGAATAGCACGGATGGTCACAAAGCACCAAGATTCCTCAGTCAGCACTGCATCTTAGCATCTTCCATTCGAGTTTTTCTGTGCGGTTATGATTCTTTTAAAATTTGGCTAAACCTCCTGATTACTGTTCTGTTAGGGTGCCTTGCAATGCCATTGCCCAGCTCTGTGCCCTGTTCTGTTGCTGTTTGGATCTTTTATGTGCCTGGGAACGTTGGGTCTTGCATATGCTGGGAGCTTATTTTGAGCAACAGCATTATTCCCACCCCTCCCCCCGCCCAAAGGTGACATCAGCTATTTGGGTATCTTCTTCCCAGGAGCCTCTGTAAGGGTCCTGGGTGAATGTTTGCAGCTATTTTCACTTTTCCTCTTAGGCTATGCTGGGTACGTGCATTTTGCTAAGCTAGGATTTAGTTAAATCAGGTTTGTGCAGCATTAAGTGGCTGAGGCCACATATTGTATGGCCAGCAGAATCATTTTGTGTCCTTCATTTTGACCTAATAAATATTTTCCTAATGATACCCACTGGGTTTTTTTCTAACGGCCAACCCAATTTTAGATTTTGCTTCTTTGGTTCTGTCATAGTAGCTGCCAGTCTTCAGTTCTGGGTAGAACTGTAGTTGCTAAGCGGTGTATTGTGTTGTTGTCATTATTTGTTAATTAAGCATGTGTATGATCTATGTGGTCAGGCTGTATCTGTTGTAATAATAAACCATTAACTCTTTACCTTTTTGGTTTGAAGCTTCACCAGCTTGAACGCTGGAGTTTGTTGTCCCAGAAGCGTCAATAAAGCAAGCAGCAGAAAAACTTACTCTTGACTTTAGTTGACTTTAGCTTTTATTGATCAGTAGAAAAGACACACAGCTTTTTCCTTTTAAATTGGACACTACTTCCTAAGAGTAATTTTGTTTATTTCTGCAGATCAGACCGGTATTAAAACCTGAAAAGGCCATTGTTTCTCTCTCCTTTGCATTTCATGAGTGCCATACCTCTGCCTATTGTCTATCACAAAGCCCAGTGGCCAGGAGTGGGTAACCAAGGCCGCTACGAGCCATAAGAAGGACAAGTAGATCTTCTACATCAGTGTTTCTCAACCTCGGCAATGTTAAGATGTGTGGACTTCAACTCCCAAAATTCCCCAGCTAGCATGCTGGCTGGGGAATTCTGGGAGTTGAAGTCCACACATCTTAACATTGCCGAGGTTGAGAAACACTGTTCTAGATGATTAGTGGGGCTTGCTAGAAGGCTCAGTTGACTTAGGAATCAAGAAGCACAGTATCAGAGATTGAGGGCTGAGCAATTTTCAGTGTACTCTTTTTCCTTGTCTTCTTTTAATTTCGGATTAATTTTGGTTTCTTAGCAGTTGCACAGCTTTTCCCATCCTGGTGTCCTTCAGAAATGCCAGCCCTGAAGACTTGAAGAGCCATCTGGTTGGGAAAGGCTGGGTGATAGTGGAACATCTGTAATACATTGGGTGGTGTTTGAATGGAGGACACATCCCAAAAGTGGGTGGGGTCCTTCACTCCATAAATCAAACTCATAAATTTCATCAATTCATAAACTACCCTAGTTTACTGCCCTGACGCATCTTGATTCCATCCCTGCCCCATTTTAAAACAGATTCTACCCCATCCCCAGTCAGCTTTAATCATAACTTGATATGTTCAATATTTAACCTTTTTTCTATACTTTCTCTTAACCGCCCCCCCAAGTCACTTTTCTCCTGGCAATAACATTTGCAAAGAACTAAAACTGAACAAGTCCTCGTTGATTCTGCCCAGCAGTATAAATGCCTGCAGATTTTACAGAAATGTCAAGGAAAAAATAAAAGGGGGGGGGGACCCCCAGCAATAAAGGGGAAGTGGCCAAAGATGGGTTGAAGGAAAATTGGGGCTTTTCTTAGCAGAAGGGAGCAAATGAGAAAAGGAAGTGGTTGTGATTTTAATAACACAAGAGAAGCCAGCTGGGGAATTGCAGCGGGAGCAGAATGCCCAGCCAAAGCCCGCTTTTTGCAATTTTTAGAGGGGTTTAAGAGGCAAACTGGTGGCCTTAAGCTGTGAAGCATTATCAGATATGTTGATGCACTGATTGCCAAGTGATAGACACTTAAATATGAACCGGTTCCCAGTTGCCTTTCCACTTTTTTGGTTAAATCAGTTTCCTCGCATCTCAAATGGCTTTGCTTAAATTATGGAAACCCTTAAAAGACTTAGATGTTGATGTGATTTATTTGCCCTCTCACATAACTAGCACCAGTTGTCAGCTGTTTTGTAATTGTGTCAGTATTTTGTATTTTGCAGACATAGCAGAATATCCTTTTATTATTATTTTTTTGTCTTTCAGGACAGAGTAATCAATTTTGCAGTTGGCATCGTAGCTTCCTTGTTGCTCATAGTAAGTATTCAACTTAGCCTTCCATACCTAATTCCAGAAGTGAAGTGGTGATGTTCATGGCTTTTCGTGTTGACCTCCACATGCTTGAATCTGCACCACAATGTTTCAGAGCAGGTTTATCTTCTAGCTTCTAGCAGCCAGTAAGGTTATATTCACTCAGGATTCTCTCCAGGGAATGGCAAAACATTCATTTCCTCTACCCCAGTATCTTTCATAAGGGCATGGACATTTTGAATTGTGCCCATTTCTTTTTCAAAACTTTTTTTCTATTTCTACAAACCTTCATTTCTTCCTGCAAACACTGATACTTCCATCTTACTCAGCTGCTGTTTATAAATATTTGATTTACATATCATAGCAAAATACACAGATCAGAGCACTTCAACAGAGGGACTAGGTGGTAAATGCCAGTAAAAAGAGCCCCATATCCACCTGCCTGAGATACCAGTAAATACACTCTGAGCTGATAGCTTCTGCCTCTGCACCACCAGAGTAGCCAAATTGGGATGCAGCACACTCAGTTGTTAGAGCAAGTTAACGCTCCGTTGGAAAAATAAAACATGACTGGGGAAAATAGAATATGCAGCTGGCTCGTTGCCACCATGAAGAACATGGTGGTAAGAAGATGGAATCAGTTCCAAGCTGTTTGAAGCCCCATCTGTTATTTTTCAAAGCCCAGGGTATAATGTGGATATGTCCCTGTCAGGTGAGAATTAATTGCTGAGAAGTATGAATGCCTGAGATGCAGAACACGATCTCCCGGTCTGAGGACTTTTCGAGCCCTCCTTTGAAGATCTTTTAACTGGCAATGCTTTGTTACAATCTCAATAATAAACTTAAGTTCCATTAATATATGAATGATTTGGTTCTCCATTATGATTTTCTATCAAGTTTTTTCTCACTTCCATGAGTTGCCTGTCTGTCTTTTTCCTCCCTAAACTAAACATCCAAATGTGTTAGATTTTTCTTAAGGGAAACTGTTTCAAGCTCTTGCTAATTTTAGTTCTCTCTTGTGTATTACAAAGCTCCAGATGTAAGCATCACTAAAATTTAGATAATTAATGGCACCTTCTCGGCACGTGTTAAGTGCCTTGTGTAACAGCTGAACTTTTAGCACTGTTATAATAACCTTCAAAGAGTTGTCCACATGATTAAGAGAACTGTGTTGTCTTTTAAATCATGGATTTCAAAACAAATGCAGTTAAAACCTGTATGAACTACTCAAATCAATGTTCTCTTTCTAATTTGGAACTTTTTTCTTCAGTCTCAACAGGTGGTAGCACCTGGCTGACCTTAGACCTTATCTGAGCTTGGAAGCCAAGCAGGATCAGGCCAAATACTACTGCATGGGAGACCTCTGGGGAATCCAGGAGCGTAGGCTAGACTGAAAAGTAAAATCATCAACTTCTATCATCATCCTGGAAAAAAGCAATGGCCAATCAAGAAAATTATAGGGATGCGTCCATGAAATCCTCAAGAACCAAACACAACAGGCTGATCTTCAACATACCCAAAGTTCAGGGGATAAGCTACTGTATTGTACTTCTAAGTTCATTCAGTGAGAAGATGGCCAACAGGACCACTGTGCTGTTGACATCCTGAATTTCCGGGGAACCTAGAGTGTGACCAGAAGGTCTCAATAGAGTTTAAATGTGGGGAATTCTGATTGGGTGTGTCTTAGAAACATCCACTGACTTTCACTTATCTAGCTGTTGCTTTACTAAAGAACAAGAGTGTACTAATGCCCTGTTTAAGAAAAGTTACAAGGAAGGTAGGGAACTTATAAGTGGTTGAACTAGTAAGTACTGTACAGTCCAATGCTGGACTGCAATTGCCTGTGGTGAAAATCAGCTCTGAAAAACACTTAGAAATATCTTTCAAAAAGGTTGTATCTTTTCATTCTCCCTCACCTGAGTTTCAGCCAGCTGTCCAACACTGAACTGGCTCACGTGTCACATTGATTCCCCAAGCTAGGCAGACATGTTAAATTCTAGTGTGCTGTGCCGAACTGTAATGGTAAGAAATAACTACACTAGGTTGATCAAGCTGCATTCTGACAGATCTAGAGTTTACCTTAGATTGGAACAAATATGGATAATCACATTCCACAAATGTATGTAGTTTTTGGTAAAGTTAATGCCTGTACTTTTTTTTTTTTTTTTTGGCTGTAGGTCACTTTAATCAGCGCTTTTGTCTTTCCTCACCTACCTCCAAAACCGGTGAATATATTTTTTGCTTTCTGCATCTCCTTGAGTTGTGTTTCGGCTGGCATTCTTGTAAGTATTGTTGTGCTTACTTTTGCAAAGATTAAGTAGATCTTACTCCGATCAGGGGAACAATAGTGCACAGTAGGCCAGCATGAAAAGCTGTAAAAATACTGCAGGGCCCAAAGTGAATAAGGATTTAAATCCACAAGTGTTGTATAGCTATTTGCATTAGCTAGCTAGCATGCCCCCTAAGCCAGGTTTTAGAACCAGTTTTAGAATACCTTGTAATGGTAGCTTTGTCTAGGTATAAGATTTCCACTTTTCATTGGGGAGAATGAATGGTTGGTTCTAGAAACATTGTGTGCATGTACGAGAGAGGTTATTGTAAAGAAGGATTAGGGACAGGATAGGAAAAACATGATCCTCAGATTCATTTCCTTTTTCCCATCCCTTATGTGAGAAGATAACAAATAAAAAAGCAACTCACAGCAGGACTGCAGCTCAGAGCCCAGAGCTTCCTTCCTGCAAGCCCTTCCATAAGTTTTATTATACCCAAAAGGTGAAAAAAAGAAATACAGAGTTATTTTCAACTAAATTTTAATTAGATTTTGCTTTTGTCCTGGCCAGACCCACTTTGGGGGAATGTAGCCTGCTGAACAAGCATGGCCACCATCCCACAGTGTGCACCTCTGATCTTCACCATCACCCAAGGAAATTATAAACATCAGAGTAGATTCATGAGGGGATAGTTGTGATTATGAAAATATTGCCTACTTTGGGTGTCTTTAATATCATGGTCATGTAAATCTCATTAGAAGCAAATCTTTCATGGGGTTCAATTCCCATCGCCAAGTAGAGCGCTATTGTTACTCTTCCTGGGAGAGGACATCAACCTCTAGAATATCCCAGAGGTGGTCAAGGGTTCCTCTAATACGATGACAGTGTCCATCTACTTGACAGGTTCCTCTTACTTTTCCCCCCCCTTTTCTTCTCCCTCCAGATCTATTGGTATCGACAAGGAGACCTAGAGCCTAAATTTAGGAATCTAATTTACTACGTTTTGTTCTCAATCATTATGCTATGTATATGTGCCAATCTCTACTTCCATGAAGTGGGGAAATGACTCTCATAGGACAAATGTTGCAATGCATCAAAATGGTCCAAGGCACCATTTTAAGATGTGCTCTCTGAAGAGATGATTACTGCTTCCAAAAAGCCAAGGCTTCATCAGTACCAGCACTGGAAGGATGACCTTGAGATTTCACAGATGTGTACTTTAACAGCTCTTCCTTCTGGTGAGGTGAAGTAGTGCAGTATGATGTAGCATCTGCTTTTGGGGGGTGGGGGTGAGCAACAGAATAGCTATTTGTGCACTCAATGAACATTCCAATTGTACGCTTGCGTTTTTCAGAATGGCACACCCTTTTTTCCTTTGTGAAAAAAATGGCATTTTTTAATTACACTGTACAAAAACGGCAGCACTGCAAATGTCTATACTACATTATAAATAAAAAGGCATCTACTATTACAGAAGAGAAATAGCTTCTCACTTGTATTAAACTGGACACCACTATTTGGTTCCCTCCCAAAGCAACCAACTCTTTTGTTAACTACAACTTCATTGTACATGAACAAAGCCACAGACTGAATACAAACTAACTTCGGAGGAAGCTAATAATTACAGAAGTCAATACTGATTTTGATTTTTTTTTACATAGCCTTGTAGTACTGAGTCATGTTGCCTACCCAAGTTGCACCGTAATCTCAGCTTAGTGTTTCCATGTACAGATCCTTCCATGTAGATGGAACACTCAAAGTCATCACTATGCTTGTTCAGATGAAAATCTCTGAAAAATATGGTCCAAACTGGGTTCATTTGCAGAGGTGGTTTTAGCTTCTGTAATAGATTTCTGAATAAAAATGAGAAGGTCTTGGGGTTTAAACTTACTTCTAAGTTTATTGCAGCTTGAAAGTCTTCTCTTCATGCTAGACTCAGGGTTCCAGTAGTAGTATTTGAAGTTTAAGAATTACATCTAATCATTCTGGGGTGACATCCATTGCCAGCAACAGATTCTTTAGTTTCAAGGAAGATCGCAAATGTGATCTTGCAGTGCTTTATGGTGCTTGAATACACTGGAACCATTAGAAAAATAAACCTTTTCTAATGTCACCTCTTGCTTTCTGTAGTTACAATTTTGTAACTATATTCTCGCCTGAAACAGGAGGATCAGTGCAAACTCTAAACTGTTTATCTGTCCATATGCTCATTTACTTCTGTGTTATTGGTCTAAGACACTGAATTCCCTCACTGTCCAACTGGGTTCCTATCCCCAGCAGCCTAGTAAAGGTTGTATGCTACCATGAAAATACAAGACTCCTTTAATGCAGAAACTTGGGGGGGTGGGGCAGCTTGACGGTCACTATTTGAAATCAGAAGACAGTAATTCATGTGGTGAGCACAACAGATTGAAGCTCCTTTGACCAATGCAGAAGTTACAGACCGTGGGACACCCTCAGTGACAGCTTACTAAGTTTTCCATACCCTTTGAGTCTTCAGAACCAGGGCTATCCAAAGAAGAGCCAATAATATGGGAATTCTCTCCATGGTGTTGTAATATAGGATCTAGGAAGAACCAAGATACAGTAAGTTGTTACATAAATACAGCCTTTATCTCTTGTGCTGGCCTAACATGCATGCCGTCTAGAACACCTTGAAAGGTTGGTTTCTTTTTGTTAAACCAACAGGATAATGATGATATGAAATTAATTTTTTAGACAGAAAGGAACACCAGGAAAGAGGCCTAACAGGCAAAACTCAGGAAAATTTAAGCTGATTGCTTAAAAGTTGTCTTCCTTTCCCTTCTGCTGGAAAAAAAGGGGGGGAAGGAAACCCTAGTTCAAATACTGACTGCATATATCACCAATGTGCTGTTGTAAATCAAGAGATTTCTTTCCCGTGCGTGTGTGCTTTTTATTTATTTATTTTTGCTGATCTTATGGGAAGGATCCAGCATCCTTGAAAACTTGATAGATTCACTATAATGGGAATGTATGATCTGAATAAAAACATTTGCCCTGATCACCCAGAGGCCATGTTAACTATCCTGAGACTTTCAGACCAAATACGTCAACAGTGGACAAATGTAAACCGTGTGCAGTAATCTAACTTCTGAATTGCATCTGTAACAGCACCAGTGTAACAAACCCTCATACAAAGCTTTCTGCTCTACTGACCAAAATTTATGATTGACGAGACTAATTCTACAGTTCGAAAACAACCTATTTGTTTTCCAAAAACAACAAAAACAAAACCCAAAAGTCTATTCTGCCCATTATTCCAAAAGCTATGCATATCCTGCATGTCAATTTCATCTACTTCAGTTTCTTATAAAATTAACTTACTGGCATAAAGACTCAGTTAATTTTCCCAGGATCTTTAATAAATATGGAATTTCAAATCTTCAAATTCCATAAGTGTGGAATTTCAAAGTCGAGTTCAAAGAGGAGCTGATGTCTGAAATTCCTTATTCCTATTTATAACTGAAGCAAAAATAAATGCCAAAGGATAATGTTGAAAATATGAAAAATAAAATCTACTTTTATATAGGAAATTATAATGGCTGTAGTAAGAATCTTGTAGGATGCTTTTGCTAAAGAAAAATAATTGAGTTGTTTAAAAATATGCTTGAAATTGTATGAAGAAATTTAAGAATCTTCTTAAAACACCAGCTTCTGAGTTAAAATTCATCTTAAAATAGTATATATCTTGTTCCAAATACCCAAAAGAATTCTAATCTATCTGCTTAGATTTTGTTTCATTTCTGTCAAAAATTGAGAACGTATAAATCTACCAATTGAGAAACTATTACAGCAAGGTGAACAAAAGAATCTAAATTCAACCTCAGATCTCTAACCTTGGGAGTCAGCAGTTCATATCATACTCTGTCCATCCAAATTGCCTAAAAACAGTAATTTAGTCTCTGCTTGGATAGGACCTATGAATCAGGGCTAAGAGAGCATCTGTAGGTTGAGTGTATATGTCAGAAAAGTTGAGATGATGGCAATGACCATGTGATCAAAGTCACATCACCTTTTTTACAGGTGTTGCAATACATGTTGCATGTAAAAAAAGGGCAGGACTTCAATTTCATGGTTGCGGCCACCATTTTGACACCCCTCTTGCCCTGAATGAGCCTATGCAGAACGTTGTCCAAAGTACTTCTCCACCGAAGATGGCATAATCCACTTTTTAAAAATGATTGTTTTAAATGTTTGCGTGGTTTTATTTTACTTTAGATTTGCTCTATGGCATTTTATCTGTATAAAATAAATAGGAAGCAATGAACCTGGCCTAAGAGCTATAATTCATTAACAGCAAGAGACAACACAGTTCAGTAGCTATAATTTATTTTTTAATAGCTATAACTATAAAAATAAGCAGTTTAAGATGTCACTGAAGAAGGTGAAACATCACAGTAGTTTGTTTTAACAGTGATATGTTAAAGAAGAAACAACAGGTGGGTTTGCTCTGCATGCTAATCAAACCCAACCAAAATGCAGAAACTGACTATCTGGTTTTCAGATGGCATGGTTTAGCAATCCAGAAAGAAACAGCCTCCTAATCTTCTTCACTGTAAAGGCAACTTAGTTCCCCATCACATATGAATTTAGTAGTAACTAATAATAATAGAAAAAAAGAGCACATTACTAAATCCAAGTTCAGATATCATTTGGGAGACAAGAAGGCAGAAACTGAATATTTCCCACTTTGTCTTGTGGTTGGTGGACAGCACTTTAAACCTCAGATTAAACTCGCCTCACCTGTGTCTTTCTAGATGACTTTGGTCTATCACTGGCTAGGGCTTACACGATATGAGCTACGCCTACACACCAAACAGGGGAGACATTTTGTCTTGTTTTGAGCTTGGGACAAAACAGCCCCTCTGGGAACATTCTGATGGAATCTGGCCGGGTTCTGTCAGAAGAAAAACTGAAATGGCTCCAAGCGTTTTGTGCCAACCTCAAAAAAAAACCCACAGGAAAGGTTTTCTTTAAGAGCAAAGCACTTTACAGCCAATTTGGTGTAGGGTGGAAGTGTTGGGATAGAAACTGGGACTTAGAAACTGAGCCATGGAAGCCATCAGAGTGACTTTGGGCCAGTCATTCTCAGGCCAACCCACCTCACAGGGTTGTTGTAGGGAAAACAGGAAAGGGGAGCATTTTGTATACCAACTTGAGTTGTACAAAATAAAGGTGGGATATAAATCAAATCAGTCAACATGGCCTGTTTTGAGGCTGAAATCACTAGGATAAGAACCCGTAGAAAGATGCTGCTCACAGCAAAAAAGTTCTTGTTTTGGATTTTAGAACAAACCTCTTGAAACTGTTTTGCTACGAACTCAAAACCTTCAAAATGGTCTTTGCAAGATTAAAATGTTCTAGACACCACTCATCTTCACCAAAAGTTCAGTCTTGTGGCAGAAGGAAGCACAGTTCAGAAGAAACAACGCCTTAGCTATTACACGTGCTTCAGTCAGGAGCACGGCAGGCTCTGATACTCCCATCGAGTGGCATAATGCTAAACAAGACAACCAAATCAAGCTCAGATTCAGGACAGTTACCTGTTAATGTTGTCAGAGGCAGCACTGATTCATTGTCTATATCATCTGATGTCTGGATAAAGCCACGGGGAGAAGGCACAATCAGAACCGTTCCATCCATGGCAGACTGTTCTACTTGTTCTTCTGTTGTGGGAGAACCAAGATCCTGTACGACAAAACCAACAACTTTGCTGAGCCGTTTCTGGAGAATTTTAAGAAGTGTTTTTAAAAATCCACAGTACCAGATAAAGTCGAGTGACGCTGCTTGCTATAAATAAATTCCTACAAGTAGAAGTGTATCCACAACAGTAGATCTTAGTGGCAAAGCCTCTTATGAAAATATAACAACGTGATGGTTATTCACAACTTCTTGGTAGGAAAGCAGAGAATCAAAAAATTGTCCTGAGCGCTCATCACCTTTTTAGTACATGCCAGGGCTCAACTAGTAAAGAAGCTGAATTAGACAAGAAGCAATTTGATCTCCTCACTTTCTAATACTTAGATTTCACATTTTTGCCAAAGCTGGTAAAGCATGACTTAGGGCCACATACACATCCAGTCACATGTTACGTGTGGTTTTCCTTACCTCGGAAACATAAGTGCCAGCCAAATCTGACTGACAGTCTTCTTCACGCTTGAGATCTGTATTCAGAATTTCTTCTCCTGCTCTTCCCATGAGCTCCGGGCTATTTCTGCTGCCAAATTTGGAGGAGTCGACCGCACTGAAAGCAGATGGTTCTTCACCTGCCAGTTTGGAGGGGTGGATGTCATCTGGAAAAGTGTCTGTTTCCAGGGACGTTGGCGTGTCTGCTAGATCGACAGGCTGCATGTCCGAATCTACACTTAGTTCTGCCTGGCTGACGGAGGGTGAAATGTCTTCTGCTGCAACTGTGCGAATGATGACACTTGGTGCGTGACACTGCACTGTAACGTTCTCAGTCGTGTTCAGCAGGTGCTCGGGCTGTGGGAAATTGCCACAAAATGGCTATTTGTATTTACAAAGATTGTAAAGGCTGAGTTTATCCTCTTTTGCAAGCTGAATACTGGTTGCTCAGTGCCAGGAAGTTTTAAAAAAAGACAAACCATGAACATTTATAGAACAAAATGGAAACTGGAAATCAGTCACCCCATATATCACATTTACTTAAAAGGAAGACAATCCCCACCCCACCCTGAAGAATAAAGAAAAATAAATGCAGACAAAACCAGCTTCCTTTCCTTGTCGATCTGGACTGCCAACTTCAGCTGAAGCTAGTCTTAGAGAATCCCCATCGCTCCAGTAAAGGCATGTGTCATACATGTGTGTCTACTTACCTGCCAGAAACTACATGCACACACATACAAAGGCAAAGCCAGGACACGCACACAGAAAGTTGTTCAGAGCATTGACTGAATTAACTACTGATAAAAATTAATGGCTTATAAAATAAGGCACCTCATTATCAGTAGCATCCACAGAATGGGATCAAGGCCGGCAAGAAGATGGGAGTGGCCTCGCAATCCAAGTCTTGGCCCTTTTGTGGGTGTGATCCATGGGGTCAGAGCTGCATCGTGATGCCCCCACTGCTATCGGCCTGCTTTTATCTCCTTCTGGTTTCTAAATTCACTGATCCCCCATCTGTGTAGACCAACCATTCCAAATTCAAACCATCTTTATTACACACAAAGTCCTTCCCAAACACCTTCAGATCAATCTTCTATACTTTTAGGAGGAATTGTTTGCAATCATTTGTACTTCCTTTCTGCTCTTTCCTTTGTTTTCAAAAGCTTCTTCTAGTCTTCTCAGTGAATATAAAGAGACTTACTCTATTCAAAGATAATTATTTGGGGCAAAAGATTTGTCTTCCTACTGGGTATAAATGGTTTTGTGAATGTATTAATAATAATAATAACTGGAGAAAATCACAAAATATAAAAGACCTGCAAACAGAAGTAGAACGACTGTGGCAAAAGAAAGTAAAGATAGTACCAAGAGTAATAGGCATCTTGGGTGCAATCCCAAAACATCTGGAGCACCACTTGAAGACCATCAGC